ACACTTTTTTTTAAAATTTTGTGGATGAGGTTCTGGAGCCCCAAGAAAAGGGGGCCCCAGAAGTCGCCCACACTTTTTTTTTTTTGGAGATGGTCTCACTAGTGCCCAGGCTAGAGTACAGTGATATTATAGCTCACTGTAACCTCAAGCTCCTGGGCTCAAATGATCCTCCTGCCTCAGCCTCCTCAGTAGCTGGGGCTACAGGCATGCACTTCCATGCTTGGCTAATTTTTCGTAGAGATGGGATCTTGCTCTTGCTCAGGGTAGTCTGGCACTCCTGAGCCCATGCGATCCTTCCACATTGGCCTCTCAGAGCTAGGATTACAGGCGTGAGCCACCGCCCTGGCCTCCCCCTTTAATTGAAGTGATCTTTATTATTCATGAAAGAGAGACAGGTGAGAAACGCTGAGATGTCAGAGGTCAATGTACTTTTTGATTTTTGGCTCATTTAAATATTTGCAGACAGATCTTGTCCTGGCCCTTGGAGGCTCCCAGAAGTCCTACGTAAAATAAATGTGAATCAAACAGTGAATGAGAATTCAAGCTTCATTTTTTTTTTTTTTTTTTTTTTAAGACAGAGTCTTGCTCTGTTGCCCAGGCTAGAGTGCAGGGGCATCATCATAGTTCACTGTAGCCTCAAACTCCTGGGCTCTCACTTTTAAATTTTATTAAATTTAAATAAACTTAAAAGAGCCACATGTAGCTGGTGGGTAGTATATATGAGAGTATATCAATAGATCTAGAGGAATGTTAATTGCTTAATGTTTAATTAAATGCTAATTATTTGACAAATTATAACTTTTAGCATGGGTCAATAAACAAAGTAAAACTATTAGTGGACATTACTCACCCTGCATTAGAACCCTTCTTCACACATTAAAGAATCTATCACTTCATTAAGGCTGCTGGTAAGTATGCAAACATATCTAAGCAGCCAAGAGCATTTCATATTGTTGCAGAAGAGGCCTGAGGTCCCAGCATGGTACTGCCAAGAACAAATGATACTTCATTTTCACTGAGGGGTTGATCTAGAGATGCTTTTAGGTAGAACACAGTGGTACTACCAAGATGTGCAGTGCTCAAAGGAATTGTGCTTCGGGCACATTCTCAGTTCAGTTAATCTGCTGGGTCCAAACAAAGTAGAAATTCAAATAGCAGAGTGTCAGATAAATTTGGAAAACTGGTTAACAATTTAATATTAAAACCATAAGGAGAAAAACAAAATAAATAAGAAACAGGAGTATATGGGTTTAAAGCCAAATTTTACCTAACTTTTAATGAACAAATAATGTCAATAACAAAAAAATTAAGAATGTTATTAATAGATCCTTAATTTTGCATGTTAATATGTGAATGTCAATATCAATTTTGAATATCTGCACAAAAATCCTGAGCAAAATCTTCACAAGAAAAATTGAGCAGCTTATCAAAACAATAATATACCATGGCTGAACATATTATATTACATAAAGCTTAAAACAAGAAATCACTATAAATTATAACATTAACATATCAAAGGACGATATATGAGCAAAGCAAAAGATGTGATGGCATTTGAAAAGGATAAGAAGTTAGCTTTAATTATAGAATATACTTGCATATAACAAAGCAAATATTAGTTTAATGGTAAAATATTGTACTGATTTCCATTAAATTGGGTAAAAGACTGAGATGCAATTATGGTTAGACTAAACATGGCAACATCCAAATATAATAGGATGATATGTGGGGGAGGCTTTCAGTATAAGAAAAATCATGTAGGTACTTTAAAAAGTAACTTTATATATGAAACAACAAAAGAATCAAGATCCAGGGTATGTGTGTGTGTGTACTCTATAAATCAGTAAGTTGAGAAAATGAGCAAAAGAAACATAGGAAAGTTATAGTAAATAACATGATTGGTCAATAAATATGTATAAAAGATACTTAACGGGTTAATTAAAAAATATATTTTTAAGTGGACAAGTGTAATTATATATATATAGGATACTTTTATTTCCAGTTGACCAGATTATAAATTACAACAGAAGACAGAAGTAAATATTCAAATATATATAAGCTATGACTGTGCAATTATAGAGAGTGTTATTTACAGACTCTATCTGAAATTCAAAATAGTCAAGGTAGAGTTTTAAAAAATGTCAATACCTAAATACCAATCAATATGAGAGTTTAAAAACATTAGGAATATTCACACAGCTTCATCTGGAAGGTTTTTCATTTTGTAGAAAAGTAATAGTACTATGTATATAGAAAAAGGCAGCTAATTACATATGATGTGAGCTGACTGCTATCACACTACGGTTTAATTACATGAAGTCGAGCTGAAATTCCAGCTTGAGGGTCACTCCTTTAGGTTTTGGCAACATTTCAGCATATGGTTTCCTGTCCCAACTGTTAGTAGGTAATAGGAATGGAAGTTCCCGGGTAATACTTAGACATATCGGGTTATGGAAAAGCAAACTTTCTATACCACAGTGCACTCCAGTTTTTTTGAGATGCTGATCATGTGTTTTTTTGGTTATTCCAAGAGTGTGAGAGTGCTTAAATGGCATGTCTAAGAACAGAAACAATTTTTCAAGTATCAAGTATAGTGGTAATCTGACCTATAGAGAAACCATTCTACATTGTGTTATATTTAATTATCAAAACTTACAATTGCATAGGGGAAATGATGTTAATATTTAATAGTAAATTATTCCCTGTGTGGACAAAAGGGATATGGATGAGCAGATCATAATGCATGATAACACTAACACTATTGACTCTTGGCTGACAACGCGTAATATGTGATGTTCCTTAGTTCAGAAGGGTAATAATTCTTTAATAGGGCTGCAAGTGAATTTAGGTAGCTATCATCTGTAATTCCGATTTCCTAAATGATTTTAAAAAGGTAGTTTTTAGAATTGATGGTATCATAAACATATAATTCATCCCATTTGCAAAACTATGTAGAAAACTTAGAAAAATTGAAAGAATAAACATAGTTAGATCAATGTTTCTTTTCCTTAATTTATCTAGAATATATTGAACCTGAAGAGTTCTGAATTGACTCTTCCAGAAAAATGACTTTCTATTGTATAATTATTTTAAAAGAATCTTAGAGCTTGCTAATATAATACTCAGAAATTTACCACTTACCTTAATGAGTGAAATCCATCTTGTTTCCAATTGTATTTTAAAAATTCATATTTCCTACAGTATCTATGGTCATGTTTGACAAACTACATTTTTTACCAATATCATTTCTTCTAAATATATTAGAGATTTCTAAATATTTTGGCTTAAACACGTGCTAACTTTTTTCTTCTTTTGAGACAGAGTCTCACTTTGTTGCCCAGGCTAGAGTGAGTGCCATGGCATCAGCCTAGCTCACAGCAACCTCAAACTCCTGGGCTCAAGCAATCCTATTGTCTCAGCCTCCTGAGTAGCTGGGACTACAGGCATGTGCTACCATGCCCGGCTGATTTTTTCTATATATATTAGTTAGCCAATTTCTTTCTTTCTATTTATAGTAGAGACAGTGTCTTGCTCTTGCTCAGGCTGGTTTCGAACTCCTGACCTCCGTGCTAACTTTTTTTTTTTTTTGAGACAGAGTCTCACTTTGTTGCCCAGGTTAGAGTGAGTGTCGTGCCATCAGCCTAGCTCACAGCAACCTCAATCTCCTGGACTCAAGTGATCCCCCTGCCTTAATCTCCCAAGTGGCTGGGACTACAGGCATGCGCCACCATGCCCGGCTAATTTTTTTTCTATATATATTAGTTGGCCAATTAATTTATTTCTATTTATAGTAGAGACAGGGTCTCGCTCTTGCTCAGGCTGCTTACGAACTCCTGACCTCGAGCAATCCGCCTGCCTCGGCCTCCCAGAGTGCTAGTATTACAGGCGTGAGCCACCACGCCTGGCCCATGCTAACTTTTAGTTTAAGAAATTTAATAAAAATTTCAATAGTTTTTCTTAATATTGGTATGTAGTTTGTTTTGCGTTCTTCTAGCCTCATAAACTAACATTGCTTCTAACCACAGATTTATTAATTGTCTAGCCTTTAACAGGCATTTTATATGTTTAGTGGACAGAGAGATGAACAATATAACAAATTGTTCGAATCCTGGTTTCCTGCATGCATTAAAGGTATTATATTTTCAAATTAATGCATCAATGTAGCATTCATCAAGTTATTAATTAAAAAATGGATCATTTCAATGGAGAATTGAAAGTTGCCACTGCAAGTTTTACAAGATAGCACTAATAATCATGTAAAAACCGGGCCTGGCATGGTGGCTCATGCCTGTAATCCTAGCACTCTGGGAGGCCGAGGTGGGCGGATTGTTCAAGGTCAGGAGTTCGAAACCAGTCTGAGCGAGACTCGGACTCTACCAAATAGAAAGAAATTGACCAGCTAAAAATATTTAGAAAAAATTAGCCAGGCATGGTGGCACATGCCTGTAGTCCCAGCTACTCGGGAGGCTAAGGCAGTAGGATCGCTTGAGCCCAGGAGTTTGAGGTTGCTGTGAGCTAGGCTGACATCACGGCACTCACTCTAGCCTGGGCAACAAAGTGAGACTCTTGTCTCAAAAAAAAAACCAAAAAAACCCCCCCAAAAACCTGACATGTACTTTCAGAAGTATGCAGCATCATTCATGAAATGGTATTGCCCAAAATTTAAACCTAATTAATTCTCTAGACCTAACCTCTAATTTATAGGAGAAAGAAGGGACACAGCAACAAGTTAAATCATACCATGAAGAACAAATCAAGAATGTGGGACATTCTTTAGATACGTAAAAAGAAAAAATCAAAACAATGAAAATGTAGGGGTATTGCCCTAGATAATAACACGTTTTAAAAATCCCAAATGCAATTAGTTAACATAGAGTGGATCCTGATTAGAAAATAAATAGCTATAAACCGAGTGCAGTGGCATGTCCCTGTAATCCCAGCTACTTGGGAGGCTGAGGCAGGAGGATTGCCTGAACTCAGGAGTTCAAGATCAGCCTAGCAGCATAAAAGAAAAGCAAAGAAATAGCTATTTAAAATATTGGGGTGCACATTTGAAGATATTATGAAAATTATTAAGTTTTCCCAGTATGATTATAATATCACGGTTATCCAGGAATTTACATGTATTTAAGGGTGAAGTACCACGATATCTACAATTAACTCTCATATAATACAGAAATAACTCATTAGATAAGCAGATACGAAAAGTAGAAATGAGACAAAGTAAATAACATGAATGTAAACATATATGGTGGGTATATTTTTCTGCATGTTAAATAACATGAATTACAAATTTAGATATATTATTTCCTAAAATAAATTTAAGAAAAATCTCCAAGAAGACAATTTACTTTTGCTATCCCATTATTAATTCCTAATTTATCTTAAATTGTGAACAGAGAATATGAATTGATGGCTATTATCAAAATCTTTATATACACTAAATTGTATACTTTATTTCCAAAATTATATATAATGTAATAATGGATGAGTGGCTTTAAGAAGCTATTCAAAATTAATTATGCCACTAGAATCGTTCATAAAAACCAACTATCAGCAACACAAATAATGATAACTATAATAGCTTATATTTATGGAGCATAAAGTTATATGCCAGATAATTTTTCCAGGATTTTACACGTACTAATTTAATTAATTCCCATAACAGGACTATCATGTAGGGTTTTTTTTTTTTCTTTTTTAGAGATAGGGTCTTGCTATGTTTCCCAGGCTTGCGTGCAGTGGCTATTCACAGGTGCAATCATAGTGCACTGCAACCTTTAACTCCTGGCTTCATGTGACTCTCCTGCCTCAGCCTTCCAAGTAGGCGGAACTACAGGTGAGCACCTTTGTGCCTGGCTTTCATGTATGTTCTTGATTACATTTTACAAAGGATGCCCATAGATGATACATGTGTTGGCCAATGACACACAGGGTGTAAGCTGGCAGCGATGACAGGTAAGGCATATGCTATGACTAAAAGCAGTATGGCATATGTGACGTTACCAAGTTCATTTATTAGTATTAATTTTTGAGAGTTAAACAATGATTGGTGTCAGAATTTGTTGTGTTTTAAAAATAAAAATATGTCTGAAAATGTTTTGACATTCCTTTCTCCAAAAGGTGAAGATGAATTCCTCTCCTACTAATTGTGGGCTAGACTTAGTGACTCACTGCTAATAAGTAAAATGTAGTGGAAATAACTTCCAAACTGAGATTATAAAAAAGATCCCAAGTATCCTCAAGCAGCATATGGAGAGGTCCCATTGGAGAGGAAACAACTTGCCAGTATACACTTACCAGCCATTTAACTAAGCCATCTTTGCATGCACATGCTCCAGCTCCAGTTAAGCCTTCAGGTAACTGCAATCTCTTGAGACACCTGAAGCCACAACTGCCCAGGTTAGCTGCTCCCAAATTCCTGACTCACAGAAACTGTGAGAAAAATACACATTCATTGGCATTTTAAGTCACTAATTTTTTGTGTACTTGGGAATGCAGCATGAGATAACAAAGTTTGTATCTAGACAAAGGATGCTCTTGAAACAGAAATCTAAAAATGTCAGAGGTGCATGGGACCACAAAATGGTTAGAAACTGAAAGAGCCTTGAAAATACTTTTAGCAGAAACCTGGAGGTTTTTAAGTAGGCTACTAGTGAGGGTTTAAAGAAAATGGAAATATATTACTGCACACTAGGGGAAAGGGAGATTCTTACTATGTAGCAGCAGAAAGTAGCAACATTGGTGCATGTGATGTGAAAAGTAGAAAATAATACCTAATACTTAATGAACTGGACAATTTAGCTAAGGAGACTTCCAAGCAGAATGTTCAAGGTGTCTCCTAACTTCTTGCTGCTTAAAGTACAAGAAGTGAGATAAGCTAGAGAAAGACTGTTAAACAGAAGTGAACCAGGACTTGGTTTTAGAAATAAATTCCTAGCCTCTCTAGAAGGCAAATGATGTTAAACTTCAGAAATGGTCTCTGGGGCTGGGCACGGTGGCTCACACCTGTAATCCTAGCATGCTGGGAGGCTGAGGCGGCTGGATTGCTCAAGGTCAGGAGTTCAAATCAGCCTGAGCAATAGCGACACCCTGTCTCTACTATAAATAGAAAGAAATGAATTGGCCGACTAAATATATATATATAATTAGCCGGGCATGGTAGTACATGCCTGTAGTCCCAGCTACTTGGGAGGCTGAGGCAGGAGGATTGCTTAAACCCAGGAGTTTGATTGAGGTTGCTGTGAACTAAGCTGACACCACGGCACTCTAGCCTGGGGAACAAAAGTGAGACTCTGTCTCAAAAAAAAAAAAAAAGAAAAAAAGAAAAGAAATGGTCTCTGGAAATATAAAATCCAAGGCACTGTTAGAAAAACATTGTCTATAGGTAAGTGGAGGGTATGTGTTCATCTTGGTCCTCTGAAAAGCAAAAAACAAGACAAGATGAGATGCATAAAAGAGATTGGGGCAACTAACTATAAAGGAAAAAGAGGAGAGCCAGGGAAGGTAGTGAAAGGCAAGGTTGATAAATCTAAAGAAGAGGGAATGAAGGGAGATTGTGTAGGAAAACTATTAAAATGCAGTGCAGTGTGAAGATAATTTAAGCTTGCCTGATGGGAAGTTGACTCACAGTTGTCCAGTTGGAGAGTCTGAGTCTTATAAGAATTGACCTGCATTAATACTCCTACTGTGCTCAGAAAACTGACTGAGGAGAGCCCACGGGAAGCATGGCCTCAATATTAACATTATTATTATTTCAGAGAGGAAGCAGTTAGGGACTTCAGTCAGTTATGCTCATCATAGCAAGTGATCCATTCTCCATAGAACAGATAGAGTATCACTATTATGAACTCTTTGCTAAGACCTCAGAAAGATCTAATGTGACACTTAAGAGAATCACCATTCAATGAAATTTCTATAAAAGGGGATGTCAGCAGCCTCTTGCAGAAGCCCAAGGTAGAGAAGAGATGATTCTGAGTGACAGTAAAAGAGCGTGACCACCAGGAGAAAGCTCTCCTGAATGTTCTACTTACTAGAAGCAAGCGACTAGGTTCAAAGGAAAGGGAGTTAGACCTCAATGTTGAAGGGTGGAGTGTCAAAGAATTTGTGGACATATTTTAAAAACACCACCATTGGCACTCTGAATGCAAATTGTTCATATTCCTACAACATGGAAAATATGCTCAAGAAGCCCCCAAAATCTCATCTATGTATAACATCAACTATTCTCAGTCCAGAATTTCCTCATCTAGATCAAGTCCACTGTGGATAAGGACAGCTTTCTCCTGGCACTCTCATTTTCTAAGTCAGCAGCCAGTGTGGGTGAGCCACCAGGGGAAATATACCCTTCAGACCCAGTTAAGCCTTTAGAAGACTGCAATCTCATGAAAAGCCCAATCCAGAAGCACTCAGTAAAAAAATTTCATTCTGTGGATGTTGTGTGCATGAAGAAATTGAGATTCCCACATTTTTCTTAATTTGCCACTGAATAGTTAAATGTTCCATTAAAATAGAACTGACACTGAATGCTTTCTAGTGTGGCAAGAACTGCATTATGGATTCTTTCATTTGCTGAAGACAGACTAATATTCAGTCATTTCTCACCAATGTAAAAATCGTCTGATGTTGAAAAAGTTTGCACCATATTCCTTATGTTTTTAGACTTTTATACCAGTATGAATTCCTTGATGTGCTTTAAGAGCTGAACCATATCTGAAGGTTTTCCCACACTGCTTACACACAAAGGGTTTCTCACCAGTATGAATTCTTTCATGTTGAACTAGGTTTGAAGCACGACTAAAGGCCTTTCCACATTCCTTACATTCATAAGGTTTTCCACCAGTATGAATTTTCCGATGTTGCGTAAGGTATCCATACATTTTAAAGGCCTTTCCACATTCTTTACATTCATAGGGTTTTTTATCAGCGTGAATACTCTGATGTGCATTAAGGTGTGAATTACGTCTAAAGGTCTTCCCACATTCCTTACATTCAAAAGGCTTCACATCAGTATGAATACTCTGATGTAGAGTAAGATTTCTATAGAAAGTAAAGGTTTTACTACATACCTTACATTCATAGGGTTTCACACCGGTATGAATTTTCTGATGTTGATTAAGGTATCCATGCAAGCTAAAGGTCTTTCCACATTCCTTACATTCATAGGGTTTCTCACCAGTATGCGTTTTCTGATGTTGAACAAGGTTTGAGCCAGTACTATAGGCCTTCCCACATTCCTGACATTCAAAAAGTTTTTTACCAGTATGAATACTCTGATGTCGAGTAAGATTTCTATACAAAGTAAAGGTTTTTTTACACTCCTTACATTCAAAGCGTTTCATACTAGTATGAATTTTCTGATGTTGATTAAGGTACCCATATAAGCTAAAGGTCTTTCCACATTCCTTACACTCATAGGGTTTCTCACCAGTATGAGTTTTCTGATGTTGGAAAAGTTTTGAGCCAGTAGTATATGCCTTCCCACATTCCCTACACTCAAAAAGTTTCTCACCAGTATGAATATTCTGATGTCGAGTAAGATTTCTATACAAAGTAAAGGTTTTTTTACACTCCTTACATTCATACGGTTTCCCGCCTTTATGAATTCTCTGATGTAAAAGAAGGTATGAGGCAGTGGTATAGCCTTTCCCACATTCTTTACATTCATACGGTTTTTTGCCAGTGTGAACACTCTGATGTACAATAAGTTGATGACCTCTTCTAAAGGCCTTTCCACATTTCTCACATACATAAGGTTTCTCATCTGTATGAACTTGCCCATGTTCAACAAGATTTGAGCGCCTACTGAAAGCTTTCCCACACTCCTTACATTTATAGGGTTTTTCACCAGTATGAATTCTCTGATGAATTCTAAGGTGCCCGCCTTGACTGAAGGCCCTCCCACATTCCTGACATTCATAAGGCTTCCCACCAGTGTGAATTCTCTCATGTTGAGCAATGTGTGAAGCATAAATAAATGCTTTCCCACATTCCCTACATTCATAGGTTTTCTCACCAGTATGAAATCTCTGATGTACTGTAAGTTGATAACCACTTTTAAAGTTCTTCCCACATTCAGTACATTCATAGGGTTTCTCACCAGTATGAAATCTTTGATGCAGAGTAAGCTGATAGCCACTACGAAAGTTCTTCCCACACTCTTTGCATTCATAGGGTCTCTCAATAATATGAAGCCTGTGATGTAGAATAAGTTGATAGCCACTACTAAATTTCTTCTGACATTTCTTACATTCATAGAGTTTCTCTCTGTTATATATGCTCTGATGTTGTATAGAAGATATACGTGTTTCACACGTAGGCATTTCTACGTAGCTGATTATCTCACACTGTAAATCCAAATCTGAAACAAAAGAAGAAAATAAAAAAATGTATTTCTATATAAGAGAACATGAAACTTCTATGAAAGAAATAAGAAATGATATTCATAATAAGTAAATGGTTTACAGAGTTCTAAAATATGGTTATGAAATTTGAGCTGGGGGCAGTGGTTAACACCTCTAATCCTAGCAGTTTGGGAGGATGAGGAGGGAGGATTGCTTGAGACCAGGAGTTTGAGAGCAGCCTGAGCAACATAGCAAGACCCTCATTTACAAAAAATAGAAGAATTAGCTGCATGTGGTAGCACATGCCTGTAGCCCCAGTTACTTGGGAGGCTGAGGTGGGAAGATTACTTGAGGCCAGGAGTTTGAGACTTGCCTGGACAACAAAGTGAGACCCTGTCTCTTAAAAAAAAAAAAAAAAAAAGTAGCTAGATGTGATGGCATGCATGTCTGTAGTACCAGTTATTCAAGAGGCTGAGCCAGGAGGATCACTTGGCCCCAGGAGTTTGAGGTTACAGTGAGCTATACTCTTGCCACTACACTCTAGCCTAGGTGACAGAAAGAGACCCTGTCTCAGAAAAAAAAAAATTAGAAGCAGAAAAAATGAAGGTACTTATTAACATTAAAATTAGAACATTGGTTACATTTAGCAGGAGGGAGAAGATTGTGATTGGGTGGAGATATGTTAAGGGCTTCAGAATTGACTAAAAACACTTATTTCCTTATTTAGAAACATTGCTTTGACAGGTATAAAAGAATCGGGTGTGTTATTATTACAACCTTTCTGTAACTCTGAAATTATATTAAAATAAAGAGTTTAAAAAAAAAGTTTTGGGAGTTGAGTCTGCTTCTCCCGCACCGCAAGACACTATTGTAGTAGTTCCTTAAAAACCAATAAACAAACAAACAAACAAACAAATTTTTAAAAAAAATTTTAACTCCTGAGCTGGGTATAGCGACATGGTTGCTTAACTTATATAACTCATTAAGCCACACTTTTATTTTATGCTGTTCTCAGTATTGGTCTGATATTTTTAAAAACAGCTTAAAATTAAAAAAAACCCAAATTACACCATTGATTATAATCATTTTTATTTCTTAACAATTTAAATTCAATAATGCCTCATATGATGTGCCTCCTCACAACAGTGTGACCTCATTTCTTGTCACTCTCCTCTTAGGATCCCTATTCTGGTCTACTTTAGTGCTCCTCAAACTCACGTAGCTCTCCCCATTCTCTTCCCTTTACTCTCCACACTCCTCCCCTCCACTACCCCAGCTGTCCTCTTAGCCCTCCAAGCTCTTAATTAACTTGCAATATAAACACATTGGTAAATACATGGCCTATAACTTTACATCCTGTCTCTTCTCAAATATTAACCATCCCAAAGAGATCTCCCCAAGCATCTTATCTAAAATGGCCTGACCTCTGCTTACTTTTTATCATGGCTCATTCCACTGCCTAATATTATTTGTTTACCTGTTTATTTATTTATTTATTTATTTATTTATTTTGAGACAGAGTCTCGCTTTGTTGCCCAGGCTAGAGTGAGTGCCATGGCGTCAGCCTAGCTCACAGCAACCTCAAACTCCTGGGCTCCAGCGATCCTTCTGCCTCAGCCTCCCGAGTAGCTGGGACTACAGGCATGCGCCACCATGCCCAGCTAATTTTTTACATATATATATCAGTTGGCCAATTAATTTCTTTCTATTTATAGTAGAGACGGGGTCTCGCTCTTGCTCAGGCTGGTTTTGAACTCCTGACCTTGAGCAATCCGCCCGCCTCGGCCTCCCAAGAGCTAGGATTACAGGCGTGAGCCACCGCGCCCGGCCTACCTGTTTATTTTTATGTGTACTTGCTCTAGTACAATGTAAATTCCATGAAGACAGGGATCTTATAAGTCTTGTTCACTATCACTATTTTGATAAATGTGTGTTTGTGTATGTAAAAGGACAGGTGGAAAAACAGCTGAATCCAAAATACAGGTAAAAAGAAAAAAGAGCATCCTTATCACTGAAAAATGGGTTTGAAATATAGGTAATAAGGTCATCGGTAAATGGGGTAAGAAATAAGGTAATCGGTAAATGGGGTAAAGTTCAAGTTTCTTCATAGCTCACACTGAGATCTATATTTCCTCCCCAGGTCATAGGCCTAAGCTCCATGAGTCTGGGTGCCTTGGAGGAGGGCTTTAGGAACAACACCATACAGAAGCGTCACCTCTCCCTTACCTCACAGGCTGTTGCCAGCCCTGATTGCTTCCCCTGCCTTCCTTACCTGCGTACCGTGTTTCTTCCCTCAAAATCATCCAGGGTTCTTTGCCTTGCTCCAATAAGTCAACCACATCTGGTTTAGAAGTGGAATGTCCTGCTTATAAGAAAAGAAATGGCACATGGTATAAAAATAAAAACAAAAGTTACAGAAACCTTTGGGATTTGGTTAAATTTACAACGAACGAAGGATTTCAAATAAAAGAAGAGTGAGATGATTTAAGAAGTAAGGCAGGTATGGTGAAATATTATTTTAACTTAAACTTATACAGGTTCTGTCCCTTAAGAGAAAGTTTAAAAATGTTTGTGAAAGTCTCTGGAGCCAGAAAACTGGTGTACAAATTCTTCCTCTTAAACCTACCAACCTTGTGACTGTGGCCATGTGACTTCAACTCACTATTCCACAGTGTTGGCAAATAAACTGGGCATAATAATATTACCATCATATAGTTATTTGATCATTAAGTCATCTTATACATTTTTTCCCCAGAAGAGTGCCAAGGACATAATGAGCACAATTGTACCAATTACAATTATTTTATTTCCATAAAAGGAAAACACAAAGCATCTCAATTGATTTACAAAATCTGTATTCAATATTAAATGCAAAGTTCATAAATTATAACTTTCAACCATAAATTATACAAATTGGCTAGAGGAAATTAAATTTAGACCCTACAGTTTTAAATGAATACTGTTCATCCAATCTACTGCTCTATAAGTCATAGAGATTATTTCATGCTCTGAGCAAATCATGAATCTGCATCTAACTTTTATCCTTGTATATGGATCAGATGATGACACAGCATATCTATAGAAATTTTGGGAATAAACACAATGGGAAACTAGGCCTCCTGAATGATGATTATTCACTAAATAAATATACATCATTTTAATGCAGCCCCTTGGATATTAAAGAAGGAAGCTATTTTAAGAAGATTCAGAGGGAGATGTGAATATCACTAAAGGATGAAGAAAATGATGCTTCTTAATGGCAATGCCATTGTCAAACTGGCAGAGGCCAAACCTTCCTTTAGGAATTGGAAGGAAAAATTTAGCCTATATTTTGAAATACAGCCTTGAAATTCACTGTGTTAAAAGGTAATATATCACATATCACATTTTAAATTACTTGAGGCAAATAAACTTACCCAGTGAGACCAGGTTCCTATAGTTCTCCAACATCACATCCCTGTACAAATCCCTCTGATTAAGGTCCAGGTATTCCCACTCCTGCTGAGAGAAGTCTATGGCCACATCCCTGAATGTCACTAATTCCTGAAACTGTAAACCCATGTATTATGAAATTTAAAATATATTTTAAAAACTGAAAGACAGAAGATCAGAAGAGCACATTAGAGAAAAGGAGCAATATAGTACAATATAGACTAATGACCAGGAGGCAGAGAAAAGCAGAATGTCTCTATGTTCCTAAAGAATTCTATTGCTGCAGACGAATCTTTCTACATGTTGGGGGTTACTGTAATAATTCAGTCCCACTGAGGAATAAAATTCAAGTTTCTGTATTCAATAAAGTATTAAAGATATAACCACATAGTCTGTTAGTTGCATGATGCTTAAATTCCCAATAAATGTGAGTTACTAAACTATTTTCCCTTTAACAGTTTAAAAAATATTTAATATAAAAATCTCCATATATATAAAATATAAAAAAAGGTTTGTGAAAACTTTAGCTATTTCCACAAGCCTCAAGTTCATCATTATATCAGAGCATATTATAAGCATTTTTGTTTTGACAAATAAATTTTGTATTGGCTATTTAACAATTTATTTTGTTTTGGATATCTTAGACTTAATCCACCCTTTACTTTCATATACTTGGTGGATAAAATTTCAAAGGTCTTTTCCAATTCTAGAAATCAACACATTTATTCCTTAGGATAACATTCTCATTCATAAGGATCTTCCGTCACTCACTCAATACTACTTTTGTTTCTGGATGTATACTGATATAGGATGACTTATAATCAAAAAGATGTAACCCAAGTTCAACAGAACACATTCAACCATAAAATAGATATTTGTCTCGCAAGATCCATGATATGCTCCCAATCATTCTAAAATTCTCTAAGATTGTGAGATCTTAAAGATCATGCTAAGACTGAGACCAACTGATAACAAAATCCCATCTTATTTGCCTAGAAAACTCAGGTCTATGAGAATTTAAAAGTCTACCTATGGTATGGTATTCAAATAGGACTAACACCTCTAATTCACCAAACTAGAGACCTATTGGGGAAGCTCAACTATTTCCCAGATGGGACTTCACTCCTTCATGGTTTTATCATAGCCTTTGGTTGAAGAATAAGCACATAAGAGTACTGAGTAAATTGGACAATAAATACACAAACACTCAGGGAGGAAATGGAGTTATTTGCTATCACTATGCACTGCAGGAGAATAGGAGAAACTGGAGAGCAGATAACTGAATGAGGCATTCTTAAATAGGAAGCTTCAGGTTAATAAAAAGATTCACACAATCTAAAATCATAACATTGCAAGGAAACAGAAATAATCAACTTACACAGGTCATGGTTTTAGAAATGTAAGACCTGATCAGTCCTCCTCGGGATTCCAATACAATTCAAACTCCAGAGAATCCAAAGCTGAGAGAAGAAAAAAAAGTTTTAGTTGTCCCAACATGACTTAATGTAATAAAATCTTTCTGCTCCTCCATTTCCCCTTCTAAAATTAGTCCCCCACAACTATACATATAATTTAGGGAAAAGTAGAAGATGTATCTAAGCTCTCCCTCAAACCCCAGGAAACCCAGCTACACAAAGGTAGTTGTAGAATTAGTCACTTTTGCATTGAAGTCAGATCCAGACATTATAGCAGGAGATTTCCTGGACAAGCCATCTCAGATCTAGATCTGAGATCAGGCTGCTCAGTCTTCCCATGACTAGATCCACCTGCCTTCACTCCTACTTTCCAAGGTTGGAAGAGGCCTCATCATCTAAACTAGAACCTCTTTTATGGCATCAGGGATCAGCTGAAATTGGTCAATATATAGGAGATAATAACAACACTGAAGAATTTGCTTAGTCCTGGTTCTGTGTTGAGTCCAGCCAAATTGGCTAAACACAGAACATATATGTAATATATTCAAAGCAGCCATTAAATGCTAAGTAGGAAACATATTTAAGGACATTATGCTAAATGGACTATTGTTATTGCTTTGGGGTGCCATGAACAACACCCATATTAGATGGTGAACTTGGCCGGATGCAGTGGCTCACACCTGTAGTTCCAGTATTGTGGGAGGCCAAGGTGGGTGGATTGCTTGAGCTCAGGAGTTCAAGACCAGCTTGAACAAGAGTAAGACCCTATCTCTATTAAAAATAGAAAAAATTAGCTGGGCATAGTGATGCACGCCTGTAGTGCCAGCTACTTGGGAGGCTGAGGCAGGAAGATGGCTTGAGCCCAGGAGTTCAAGGCTGCAATGCACTACTACGATGCCATTGCACTCTACCCAGGTGACAGAGTGAGATTGTCTTAAAAAAAACCTAATCCCTCTTGAACCCTTTTCTGGTTGCTAAGTTAGAAGACATTAATTAATGTAGGATGATTCAGAATTATATCAAAGTCATTTGATGTCAGCACATCCTGGGCAGCAATAAAATAGCCATAATATATATCACTCGAGGCTTCCTTACAAAGAATCATGATCCCTACATTTGAAAGTCCTATATAATATTGTTATTCAATTCTAAAAGCTTCAAAAAGCATTAGATCTCAACCCACACTAAGATTTGGACCATTTATTATAAGGCTTTACCACATGTACCTGGAAAACTCATGTCTATAGAAAACTTCAAAGTCCTTCTCTATTTGGCCAAATGGGATCCTCATCTCTAATTCATCTACCCACAGTCTGACCTGGAAGCTCAATTCTTTTTTTTTTTTTTTTTTTTTTTTTTTTTTTTTTTTCAAGGGACATTCAGATTTGTAAAGGAAGCTCAATTCTTTATGGGACTCAACACCCTCATCGTTCCATCACTGCTCTTACTATGTGATTAGGCATGTAAGAGGTAATGTCAGTAAACACATAAATACTACTTAAAGGAGGCCACAGAAAGAGGACACTGGATTATCTGGGACCATTGTTTACTGGTAATAGGAGGAAATCAGAAGCAGATAATTGAATGGGGTTCTTCAGGTAAGAAGCTTCAGAAAAACGAATGAAAACATTTACGTCATATATTTCAATGAGAAGGAAACAGCAACTTACACATGCCATGGTTTTATATCTGCAAACACTGATGAGACCCCCTTGAGGTTTCTCTATAGGAGAAGAACAAAGAGTATCCAGAGCTGTGAAAGGAAAAACACACCACAAGAAAGGCATGTTTTAGTGTCACCGTGTAACAAAATAAACTTTTTTGCTCCTCCATTCTAAATAATATTTCCTACCATAAGTACACAATTTGAAAAGATTAGAAGGATTTTTAGATAAATCTGAACTCTTCTCCAATCCCCAGGATATCCAGACACTTCAGCAGGCAGTGCAGTTCTTCGCTTTGGGAAAGCTGCTCTGTAGTGAGTTTGGGCTGCTCAGTCCTATCCTGAACAGATCCTCTTCCCTTCATTCATACCTCCCAGGGTTGAAAAGGAGCCACATCATCCAAATCACATCTTACTTTATGGCCTTGGGATCAGGTGAGGTTGAAAAGGGTGTGCAGGACATAGAATTGGTCAGGCAGTATTTGGCACTCAAATTCTAAAAGAACTGCTTAAATACATTATAAAATATCTATGTAATGAATGTTAAGTAAGGAAAAATATTAGGGACATGGAAAATATTCTAGAAATATGTCAGTAGAAAAATCAGGTTAGAAAACCATTAAATAAAATATGATACTGTTTGTAAAATATATATATATTTCAATATTGAAAGACTGATAGACCATTAGTTCTACAGTAGGTATTGTCTAGGTAAAATAAATAAAGAAAGAAAAAATTTAAAAATAAAAAAACATACAATACTGACAGTTCATCAGACTCAAGTAGATATGAAAAGTCTGGAAAGTTATACACTCATCGATTAACAGTGCTTACCTTCTTGCTTTGATCCAGGGTTTTTTGTTTGTTGAGTCAACGGTCATACCTTAACTTAAGAGATACATGCATATGAATCATGATTACATGTTCAGTGGAAGGTGTTCTCCAAAAAGTGAAAATTTCTTTTGTTTTTTTCTTTTTTTAAAGAGAGGGTCTCGCACTATTACCCAGACTATAAAGTGCAGTGGCATGATCACAGAGCTCACTATAATCTCCAATTCCTGGGATCAAGTGATCCTCCTACCTCAGCCTCCCAAGTAGCCAAGACTACAGGCACCCATCACCACTCTGGCTAACTTTTGTTATAGTTTTTGTAGAGATGGGGGTTTTGCTATGTTGCCCAGGCTGGTCTCAAACTATTCTCCCACCTTAGCCTCCCAAAATGCTGGGATTACAAATGTGAGCCCAACATGCCTGGCCAGAAAGTACACTTTTTAAAATAACTTTGTTAAGTGGGATTGATATTTAATTTTGGATTTTTTAGTATTACTGATTATAAATATGAATATTGCTTAACATTACATACATGTAATCCTTCCATGTCTAACTCTGTATAAACTGCATAATAGTCAACCATATGGGTTAATCATTTACTTAATCATTTCCATAAGCCTGTACACTAATTTTGCACATAATCATAAAGAAGAAAACTGTTGTCTCTGATTTTAAACTACAGACTCTAAATCTTTTTGGGCTTTGTTTAGAATACGAGAACACACAGAAACATTTGAATGATATGCCAAATGAATATGAAAATGTTAATGAGATTCACCTCAATGACATCCAACATCCACTGGAAAGAAAGTAGATTATGATTAGGACATTCAGACACATTTCAGACGAAGGAAAGAATGCCCTAAAACCAATAATTTCATGAAAGAAAAAACCCAACTAGCTTAAACCTTGATTTTTAGATGTAAAACAATTCTTTCCTCTTCATCAGGGTCCTTCTTTGGGGGAATGGCGGGACTGGGGGGGAAGTAGGGAGTCATGAGTTATCGCCCTTTTCTTGTTGCACAGAATGACTCATTATACCATACCCTCCACACTTGCCTTGCTCACACACTTAAACACATGGAGGTAGCAGAGAGGCTAGAATCTGAGTATGCATTCTCAGCAGGTTCCTGGTGTCAGAACTCTGGGAAAGTGGAGGTTCTGAGACAAGTGGCTGACCCTCAGATCTCACAAAGAAAGAACCTTCCAGGCGTTCCCAATCTCAGAGCAAGTCAGTGCCTTCTTGCTGGAAAACTTTATTTAAGGTTCATTATCTGACTTCCCTCTTCCAGACATTTTCTTTGTGTCAGCCGCAAGTAGCTGTAAGGAGAGAAGGTGGAGGAAGCACCAAGGACCCTACAGCCAAGAGTCACAGTGACACTGACAGCCATAGCAATAGATGAACACATCCAAGGCATTCACCTCATATCCCCATCACGGGAGCACAGAATCTTACCGGTCACAGCCTCACAACCGCACCCTCGATCAAGGAGGCACATCCCAGCCCTCTAACTCACACAATTTCTCTCACGTACACACACACACACACACACACACACGTACACATACACACACTGGCACACGTTCACCATCTGACAGATAAACATTCTCTCACATACACACACCCACAAGCACACGTTCCCCATCTGACAGATGAAACAGTCTCTCACATACACACTCACACATAACACACTCACACACACACACACACACACTGGCACACATTCCTCATCTGACAGATGAAACATTCTCTCATATACACACACATACATACACACGCACAAGCACACGTTCCCCATCTGACAAACATTCTGTCTCTCTCTCTCTCACACACACACACTCACGCACACGTTCCCCACCTGAAAGATGAAACATTCTCTCACATACACACACACACACACACGTTCCCCACCAGACAGATGAACATTCCCTCACATACACACACAAACACCCTCCTCTGCTGTTCACGCACCCACAGGCCTGTGATTCCAGTAACAACTGGCCCGTCCATGCTCCCGGTTTCCACGCTTTAAGGGCCTCCTCCACCGCCCCGGCCGGTTCAGGTCGAGCTCCAATTTGACCCTCATCGCCCAGGGCCCTGCCCCCGAGGACCCTGTCCCTGTTGTATCCCAAGATACGCTCAAACTCACCTCGCAAAGCACAAGAACCGCGCGAAATCGGAAGGGAAGCCACAGATTGAATGTGCCCATTGCCTTCTGGGAAATGTAGTTCCAGTCTGAACATCTGTAACCGCGGTGTCTTATGGGAAAAGTGGCCCAGATCCCAAAATCCCAGTTAGGACGCAAACCCGCCCCAAGAACCGCCCAATGCCGCCTCCCGGAGGTTTTAGTTTTCCTTCTAGTAGGAGTTTGCAAACGCAAGGACGTGATGCGCTGGCAGAGATAGCTGGGACAAAGGCGTGTCCGACGTATCCACGGAGTCCTGAAACGACAAGTGGACCCAGAAAGCTGAGAAGGGGACTATGGAACTCTGGCTGACCAAAGCCTCGGGCTTTTGCTGGCAGAGCTGGCTCGGTAGGGTCAGCTGTGTGGCGGTGAGGGCGAGCGCGCGGGAGGGTTGAGTACCTGAGGGAGGGGACTCTGCTCTTGTGTCTCCTGAAGCAGCCCCAGCCTTGTTCTAAGGTATAGAAAAATTAACTTTTTTAAAAATTAAGAAAAATAATTGTATACTTTATATATTTATAGAGTACACTATATATTGATATATGGTTATATAGTGGAATGATTAAATCAACCTAATTAAACCCATCACTTCACATGCTTAATTTTTGGGGGTGAAAACGTTTAATAGCTACTCTTTTAGCAATTTTGAAATATACAATGCGTTATTAATTATTGTAGTCACTGTTCTGTGCAAAAGATCACTCAAGCTTATTCCTCCTAACTGAAACTTTGTACCCTATTGAGCAACATCTCCCCTTTCTCCATCCCTCAGCCTATGATAGGGACCAGCATTCTACTATCTATTTGTATGTTTTACTATTCTGAATTCCACATATAAGTGAGATCATGTGGTATTTGTCATCTTTCTTTCCCTGGCTTATTTTACTTAGCATATTTTCTTCCTCTGGGTTTATCCATGTTGTTGCAAATGACAGAGGTTCCCTCTGTTTTAAAGAATGAATAGTATTCCATTGTGTATATAGCATTGTCTTTATCCACTCATCTAATGATGAACCCCTCGGTTACTTCCTTATCTTATTGTGAATAATTCTGCAGTGAACATGACAGTGCAGATATCTCTTCTGCATACTGATTCCAGTTCCTTTGGATATACATACAGAAGTGGGATTGCTGGAACAAATGGTATTTATTTTTAGTTTTCTGATGAACCTTCATACTGTTTTCCATAAAGGCTGTATTAATTTACATCAGGAAAAGAATTGATACTGTTGGAAATAGATTGGTTTATTCAATAAATCGTGTTAGGTACATTGACTAATAGTGTGTAGGAGTTAGTAGTTGTATTTACTTAATTTCTTTACGTTATTAAAGTATAACCAAAACTGTCTGAATAATTAAATTTAAAAATGATCTGGAGAAAACCAGGTATATGATTTTTAATATTAAGTCAGGGTGGACATTCTAAGCAAAATGGAAGAGAAATGCTAAGAAAATAGATTTGACTTGATAATTATGTGTTTATCCAAATCCAAATGAATCAATTAATAAAATGAAAATAAATACAAGACAAAAATTAATAGATGTGGCCGGGCGCGGTGGCTCACGCCTGTAATCCTAGCACTCTGGGAGGCCAAGGCGGGCGGATTGCTCAAGGTCAGGAGTTCAAAACCAGCCTGAGCGAGACCCCGTCTCTACCATAAAAATAGAAAGAAATTAATTGGCCAACTAATATATATAGAAAAATCAGCCGGGCATGGTGGCTCGTGCCTGTAGTCCCAGCTACTCGGGAGGCTGAGGCAGGAGGATCGCTTGAGCCCAGGAGTTTGAGGTTGCTGTGAGCTAGGCTGACGCCACGGCACTCACTCTAGCCTAGGCAAGAAAGCGAGACTCTGTCTCAAAAAAAAAAAAAAAAAATTAATAGATGTGTTTTAAGACATTGTATAATGAACAGACAAATAATAGTCTTAAACCAATATGTTTTTGTCACTCAAAATAATGGTTACTAGTCTAAAGGAAAAAGGAAAGATGACAGTAAATTCACCATTTACAACATTAGAAATACAAATTATCGTCAAACATATCAGTCTCACAAGTACTTGACCTTTTAGGAATTCATCCTGCTTTCCACAATGATTAAGAAAATACTAATAAATCTTTTTTTCCCTTAATTTAGTTTGTGCTCCTGAGTCTCTTAATGTATCTTAATACTCTATCTTTTTTCATAATTATTTTCTGTAGTTTCTTTCTCTTCAATTGAGACATTTCCTACATTCTCTTTATACTTTTCCATAAATGACCCAGTGTCTTCATAAGCATCATTGATGAATCTATGTATGCAATGATAATAATAATGATAGATTATCAATGTGATTTCCCTTCAGTTTTGTCCATTATTCAAGTGATTCTCCTGGATTTAGCAACAGGCCAGGAGGTATCCATGACATTTTGGTCAGGTTAAGCAGTAAGGAGAAAACAAAATCTAAACTCCCTATTTCAGGTTTTAAATGCAAGATCTAGGTAGAAACCAACAAATAATTCGGAAGGTCCATGATTACACAGTGAGGATTTTATGCTCCTTCAAGAGTAATTGAGATTGTTTAATCATTTGGAAGAACACATCTCAAAGGTAAGTAAGAAGATACAATATTTAGAATCTAATATTTAGACTCTGCAGAATCCTTTAGAAGTGGGCTCTGCACCCTGGCTACACCACTAGCCTGGGTGCCGGAAATACCAAGTACAACAAAATATATCAATGCCCCACAAACTTTTTCACATAGAAAAGTGGTTGCCAACGCTGAGATTCATAGTCCAAGTGTGTCCTTTGCTTCACAGGAGAAAGAATTCAAGAGCGAGTCCATAGTGTAAAGCCAAAGCAAGTTTTATTGAGAAAGTGCAAGAGATCTACTCCACAGAGTAGAGAGGCTAGTTCTCCTTTCGGAGAACAGCTTCTTTGGTTCTTTTGATTTCTTTATTTAAGCAATGGCTTAAATAGGCTAAGCAGGAGAGGAATATTCATGTTATTTCTTTGAAAGGTGATTTTTTAAAACTGAGAACCCTCTCCTTTCTTTACAAGCTCTCTCTTGGAATTGTCATGGTGTCAGTGGGAGTTTCTTTTAGCATGCTAATAATATATTATAACTAAGGTATAATGAGCTGCAAGGCCAAGAAGTGGCCAATTCCTTCCCCCATCCTAGTTTACAGCCCGTCCGAACTTGTTCTGTTACCACATCTCTTTTTTGATAAGGGTGGTTAGGGGCTTTTGGCTCTTTGTTAACCAGTGCCTGCCGGTCCGCTGTCTCAGATTTTGAGTTGATTTTGTATACGGTGAGAGGTAGGGTCTCAATGCATTCTTTTCCATGATAGGTAGTCGTTCCAGGGTCCGTAACAGTCTCAGAATCCCACTTTGAGGAGCTCACATCCAGGAATTCTCAGAGTCGCGGCAATGAGTTTACAGGGCGCCCTCACACTCAGGACTGAGGCCTCGCAATAAAAAAAAAAGCCCCGAAGTTCCCTTCTCAGATTACCTGGCTCGGCCACACTGGGACTCGTTTCCTCCGGGACCCGAGAACGCAGCGTTAACACGGTCGGCGGCCTCAGGTTAGAGGGGCCAGCATTCGGGCGATCTGCGCCTGCGCACTCCTAGGATTTGCCACAACTCCCAGAAGTCTCCGGTCTCGGGCGGTGGGCGGGGCAGGCTGTCCTAGTGGTCACGCGTCCCCTTACATCTACGTTTTCGCGACCCTGGGCTCCGTTTCTAACCTGGGTCTGCAGTCCTGACTATTCTGGATCGGATTACATTCTCCCCAGGCGACGGAGGAAACCGGGACCCCTGGCTCCGTTTCCGGTTATCTCTAGTTGCGCGCCGCGGTGGCCTCGCTCCCGCCTGGGGAGGAAGTCGGGGGTTGCTGCGGGGAAGACTCTGCAGACCTAGACTGCGCCGCGCTGGGGACTCTGCGTGGCGGTGAGAGGGAAGTTGCGGGGGGCTCGCAAAGCGGACCGGTCTGCCCGCCGCCTCAGGCGCCTGGGTGCTGGGGCTTCGCAGGGGGCGGGTGGTCTCCTCAGTGGTGGGCGGGCGGGGACGGGGAGAGACCGTGCGTCCGTGTCACTGGGTGCAGTTGAGACTGTGGGGTGTGTAATCGTCCTTACCTCACGGAGGCCTTGAGTGTGTGTCGTGTAGATGATCGTGCTTTGCCTTGGCTTTGTAGCGAGCGTCACTGCGACCGGTGGCTCCAGGTTCGCTGCTGCTTCCTTGCAGCTCCTGTCAGCCAGATAGGACCGCTGCAGAGAAGGACGCTCGCAGTCTCAGGTAGCAAGTCAGATGTTGTGCCTTAGATGCAGGGGGTGGGAAATTTAGAGCAGTAATTGCCCTTACACAAACGTGATAGATTCTGTTAAAAATTATTCAGTGATTCTTGTTTAAAGCACGCTAAGGAAGACTTTATTCAGGAGTATTGTGATAAGTAAAGAGACCACTGCAGTGGGGTTTTGCAGTGGGTGAGAGAGATTAGGTTCAGCCCTCAATATGGCATGGGCACGTGCGAATTTATATTCAAGGAACAGGATGAGGATCCCTGGATGGAAACTTACTATTAATAAGAGGAAACATCAGGTGTAAGGCGGATTCTGGCTAAATTGACCTAATAAGATTCTTGCTGAAAAGAGGAGGTGATCCGTCATCATCTGGGAGATAGTAAAGGAGGAGGAGGAACCTAAGTAGATACGGGGATGAAGGGTTCTCGCATCTTTGGTAAAACTGGATTTACAATGAAGTGTACATGTGAGCCTAGGAGGAAGTTCAGGAGTCCGACTAAAGTTTCGTCAGATAGAGAACCTTTTGGCAATTCCAGACATAGGATTTCCTCCCTGAAGCCCTCCTCCACCATTTACATGTAGAAGAAATACAGTCCTTCTTTAGTTTTGACCTCAAGAACCTACATTTAACACTAATTACAGATTCCATATACCATACTTCCTTGGGGGACATGCATGAAATTGCAACATATGTAGCCTTAGGGGGGAACATAAGCATTCAATATTATGAGGTGATTCTGGATCATTCTGCTTTCAATTTCTATAGATCAAAAACAACAGGAGTATGAACTTATTTCTGTCTTTGCAAGTTAAGGAAGTGTGCCAGAATTGAAGTGTTCAAGAAAAGGAATTTTTAGTGAAGGGCCTTTGTTTATGGGCATGCATGGAACCAAGAACCCTCTGTAATTTGATAGAGAATTGCTATATATGTTTGTTAATTTGCAGTTTTCCTGAGTATCCATAACTCAGACATTTTAGACCTGGGCTTTAGATCTGGAGTCAAAGATTGTTATAACTTGGTATGGTTTTGCAGAAAACTAGTGATCAACATTATCCCAATGGTTAGAATATCACAACATCATGGGAATGAATATTATGCAGATAACAAAATATACGTTTATAAAAATTTTGTTGTGAAAAGGAAAATTGGCTATAATCTAACATGTTAAACAGCATTTATAGTTATGGACCATAGTTCTTGAAATTTTAAACTACATACACAGTCTCCTTTTCTTTTCTTTTTTGTTTTTTTGAGACAGAGTCTCACTTTGTTGTGGGGGCTAGAGTGCTGTGGTGTCAGATTAGCTCACGGCAACTCAAACTCCTGAGCTCAAGTGATCCTCCTGCCTCAGCCTCCCAAGTAGCTGGGACTACAGGCATATTTTTAAATAGAGATGGGGGTTGTGCTCTTGATCAGGCTGGTCTCAAACTCCTGAACTCAAACAATCCTCCCACCTTGGTCTCTTAGAGTGCTAGGAATACTGATGTGAGCCACTGTGCCCTGCCTGTACATACCTTTTTAAACCTGTCTTCTATAGTAATTCATTCTTTATACTGTTTTCCAGTGATTATATGATTTAACATCAATCTTTTTAATAATAGCATAGTTTGCTACCAAATAGCAGATAATATGTTTACTCTGTTGCCTCATATGAAATATTGGTGTTTTTCATTTTTGATAATGAAAAATTATTCTTTTTTTTTTTTTTTTGAGACAGGGTCTCGCTTTGTTGCCCAGGCTAGAGTGAGTGCCATGGCATCAGCCTAGCTCACAGCAACCTCAAACTCCTGGGCTCAAGCAATCCTATTGCCTCAGCCTCTCGAATAGCTGGGACTACAGCCATGCGCACCATGCATGGCTACTTTTTTCTATATATGTTAGTTGGCCAATTAATTTCTTTCTATTTGTAGTAGAGATGGGATCTTGCTCTTGCTCAGGCTGGTTTCAAACTCCTGACCTCGAGCAATCCGCCCACCTCGGCCTCCCAGAGTACTAGGATTACAGGTGTGAGCCACTGTGCCCGGTCGAAAAATTATTCTTTAATGAATATACTTGTACATATTTTTGTATACTTCTATAATTATTTTCCTTTTAAAAATTGCTAGATGTGAATTTTGAGATTATAAATAAGACTTTTATAAAATGCCTTTAGTATGCCACACCTGAAAATTGTAGTATTTGGGATGGGATAATCACTGAAAAGATAAGAGTTGCTTCCTTTAAATTGCTTATACTCTATCAAGGAGGGTTATATCTAAATTGAAATAAGTTTAAGGCAGTGTGTGATAGAGCATATTTGGAGAGATTTAGGTGACCTAGCTTATGAGTTTGCTACACCAGAGACATCAGTCTGACTATAGCAACACTCAGGATATGAACAGATTATACTAATTCTGTGGGATCTCTATGGGGCCAAATAATTTATACTATATCTTTCATACTTTGTAGTTTTCATTCTAATGATATTAGCTGTAAAGCAGAATTAAATTATTTCATGAGATAATTCAGGAGCTGTCTGGAAGATAACCTGCCAGGTTTGGAAAACAAAGTAAACCCTTTTGTCAAGAATATTTGAAGTAAAGCTATATTGAGACCATCATTAATTCACAGAGGAGATTACTCAGGGACAATTTTCCATATTTTTGGAGACACAATTCCAAAATACCTGAGAAGAAATAACAGAGTGAGTTGAAGTATTGAAATCCAAAGGAAACCACAGAAGATAAGCCATTCAGTAAAATTTTAAATTTAGAAAACAAAGAATTTTTTTGAAATCCCCACTTTAACAAATTCTGAAACACACATGTTTCAAGGTAACATTATATGTTAATAGTTACAAAAATTATGAAGGAAACACTAATCAAAAATCAAGATCCAAATGAAATTATAGGGAAGGCTGATTATCAAATTCTGGTTATGGAGAAGTTTCTAAGCAAAGGTTTATTTTACTTCTCCTTTACCCTTATTTAGTTGTTTCATGTACTGGCCAAAAAGAACTGAATATACAACAATTTATTTATGATAAACAGAACCCAATCAAACAAAAAGTGTAAGTACTATTAACATATGGACATATCATTTTCAGACTTTTTCTGTCTCCTGTTTTTTTTTGTTTTTGTTTTTGTTTTTTTTTTTTTTGAGACAGAGTCTCGCTTTGTTGCCCAGGCTAGAGTGAGTGCCGTGGCGTCAGCCTAGCTCATAGCAACCTCATCCTCCTGCCTCAGCCTCCCGAGTAGCTGGGACTACAGGCATGCGCCACCATGCCCAGCTAATTTTTTGTATATATATTAGTTGGCCAATTAATTTCTTTCTATTTTATAGTAGAGACAGGGTCTCGCTCTTGCTCAGGCTGGTTTCGAACTCCTGACCTCGAGCAATCCGCCCGCCTTGGCCTCCCAGAGAGCTAGGATTACAGGCGTGAGCCACCGCGCCCGGCCCATGTCTCCTGTTTTATGATTATCTGTTTCTTATCTTTCTGTGTTGATTAATATGTGGTCTCAAGATCTTTCTCTTTTTTTCAGGTTTAGGGTCTCCTGATCCTGTGCTTTTCTGGTAGAGAAACCTTGAGGACTGAACAGCTTTGGCTGATATAAGACCATGGCTTGTGTAAGTTGATGTTTCTCTTCTTGTTGATACTTGTGTGTGATTTTTAGGTCTTGTATGCCTTTTCATTGGTTTTCCTGAAGTTACCTACCATGAGAGGGTCCTCAGTTAACGTATTCCTCAGCTCTTTTTCTTCCTGTAAAGTGTGTGTCACATCACCCAGCATCTTCCTTGTGTGGTCCACTGTAAATTAACTACTGTTTATTATTGACCAAATTTTTCAATAACGTGGGCAGTCATAGTGAGTAAAGGAGTCAAGTTCTTAGAAGTGAAGAGATACGCATTCCGGGTCAGTTTTGTCATTTGGTGAGACTGAGACAATGGTTCAATTTGACCATCCATGAGAAACATGATAGGGTGGAATTTGGCATTGACGAGGTTGGTTAATCTTTGTGTAGGGAAAAATTGCATATGTGTGTGAATTAGTATTTGAGTGGGACTTATATTAATAAATCTAGAGGTTATAGATTTTGATGGAAAACCCTGAGAAGCAAATAGCATAAAATAATGATGTCCTACTAAAAATCCTTTTGTTTTATTAAAAGAAATAAAAATACTTATGGTAAGGTTTGACATAATGAAGTACTTGCTGCTTGAAGAAATTATTAATTTTATTTAAACTTCATTTTCTAAAATTGAGAATCTTGTATGTTGAAAAAAAATTCTTATGATTGACCAGGCGCGGTGGCTCACGCCTGTAATCCTAGCTCTCTGGGAGGCCGAGGTGGGTGGATTGCTCGAGGTTAGGAGTTTGAAACCAGCCTGAGCAAGAGCGAGACCCCGTCTCTACTACAAATAGAAAGAAATTAATTGGCCAACTAACATATATAGAAAAATATTAGCCGGGCATGGTGGCACGTGCCTGTAGTCCTAGCTACTTGGGAGGCTGAGGCAGTAGGATTGCTTGAGCCCAGGAGTTTGAGGTTGCTGTGAGCTAGGCTGATGCCGCAGCACGCACTCTAGCCTGGGCAACAAAGTGAGACTCTGTCTCAAAAAAAAAAAAAAAATTCTTATGATTAAATTTTTAAATTCCCTTCCAAGTGAAAATATTCCTCAATTAACTCACATTGCTTGAGAATTTATGAGGCAGATACCTTTTGGACATTATGCATATAATAATGATTTAATTTAATAGGAAAACGGTATTATTTTGTAAGTCTCAAAAGGGTTAGATATTTAAGAGGTATCTCAGAGCATGCAGAAAGTTTTGTCTGTGTCATAAGCCTCTTCAAACATATGTATACATTCTGCTTCATCCATCTCCCCTGATAGCATTGATTTCTAGTCTGAATGTTTGTCATGTTCTTTTGCTACAATGCAGTCTTTTACCTCCTCTACTCCATTTTCTAAATATTTTCTTTAATTTTCCCAGTAATACGTGGGTTTGCTGTTTCAGGTATCCATAACGTTCAGGGACGTGGCGATAGACTTCTCTCCTCAGGAGTGGGAATATCTCAACCTGGTCCAAAAAACCCTGTACCGGGAGGTGATGATGGAAAACTATGATAACTTGGTTTCACTGGGTATGTTTATCAACGTCAAATAATTGGAAATAATTTAGAATCTGCTCTGTAGGATACATGCTTTTTCCATTGTAATTTTTAGGGCTGCCTTTCAAAAAATGAGTTAAATTTCTTTCCCGTATTGCTATGGAAATGGTTAGAGCTTTGTTTGGTTGGAAATGGCAACCCTATTAAACAGTTTCATTGTCTCTATCTTTCAGTGACATTCACATGTCCCTCTGATACTTCTTTTATTTGTCTTTTTTCCTTGATGACCAGTGCTTTAGCTTAGAATTTTCTGGTGTTCATTGTAGAACCATTGTCAGGGGATTGAGGTTTCTTATTTATTTGTGCTCAGAATAGCTGTAGTGCTCCATTTTATTATCTGATCGGGTTGCAGGGATATTAGCTCTACACAGCATCTTGAACTGTTGTCATTATCAAAGGAGAGCCTCTTCATATAGTGGTGAATTGGATAAATGGGATTCACTTAAAACTGAGGACAAAGCATTCCATTTCCTAAGATAGAGTTCCTTTGAGATCTATATATACACACATATAGATAGATAGATCTGTCTGTCTGTCTCTCTCTCCCTCTCTCTCTCTCTCTCTCTCTCTCTCTCTCTCTCTCTCTCTCTCTCTATATATATATATATATATATATATATATATATATATTTCCCCTAGACAGAATCTTGTTCTGTCACCCAGGCTTGAGTGCAATGGTGTGATCATAGTTCACTGTAACCTCAAATTCTTGGGCTCTTGTGATCCTCCTGTCTCAGCCTCTGGAGTAGCTGGGACTGTAGGTGTGCACCACCATGGGTGGCTGATTTTTAAATTTTTTGTAGAGACGGGGGTCTCACTATGTTGCTCAGGCTGGTCTTGAGTTCCTGACATCAAGAGATTTATCCTCCTGCCTCAGCCTCACAAAGTGTTGATATTATAGTCATGAGCTACCACACCTGGTCAGAGTTCATTTCAGTTATGGTTGAAACTTGTAATCCATGAAAATGACATGCAAAGTGGGATGGATATGCTATAGATATGTCTTCTTGTATACTCTTAGTAAAATAATTACAGTGTATAATAATGTTAATAGCTAATATTGTGTTTACTATGTACAATACATTTTTCTAAGAACTTTACTTATCTATCAACTAATTTAATCCTCCCAATGGCCCTATTATTTTTCAGTTTCAGAAGTGAGAATACTGAATAATAGTAAGTGTTTAAGTGCCTTGCCCAACGTCACATACAGCTAGAAGGTGGCAAAGTCAGGAATTGATCCCAAACTCTATAATGTGTTTTTCACCACATTATGCTTGCTGTCTAGAACTAGGGGACATATGAATTTCAATTTTTTTTAAAAAGAAGAGCAAAACAAAAACTGTTGATTCTCCCTAATTGATCTCTTTTTCCTTATTTCTCTTACTCTTTAAAATCTTAATCATTGTCATTTTGTTTATTGCTAGTATAACTGTAGTTTTTTACTTTCAATGTTTATTTCCATATTTTGTGGCACTTCTTTTCTTTGTAAGCAGGATATTCCTTGTCTAAGCCAGATATAATTACCTTATTGGAACAAGGAAAAGAGCCCTGGATGGTTGTGAGGGAAGAAACAAGAAGAGAGTGTACAGGTAAGAGCGAGTGACGCAGGGAAAGGCATTTGTGAAAGTAACAGCCCAAGTGGAACTGGTCCACTCATTTGGTAAACAAATCCCTTCTCAGTGGACATATGAAGAAGAAATGAATATCTCAACATGGGATAGTCATTAAAGTTCATATTTATTTCAGTATCTGCTCATCATGTTATTTTTTTTTCATATTTCCTTCCCAATTTAGTGACAGGCCTTCTCTTTCTGGGGTCCAGCCCTTTTTTCTAGATACTGGATCCAAATGTTTTTCAGATCCTCTTTTACACACAGATCAATATATATATATATATTTTTTTTTTTTTTTCTCCTCTAAAAATTACAATCCTTTTTTTTTTTTTTTCTGAGACAGAGTCTCACTCTGCTGCCCGGGTACAGTGCTGTGGCATCAGCCCAGCTCACAGCAACCTAAAACTCCTGGACTCAAGCAGTCCTCCTGCCTCAGCCTCCCGAGTAGCTGGGACTACAGGCATGCACGACCATGCACGGCTAATTTTTTCTATATATATATTTTTTAGTTGGCCAATTAATTTCTTTCTATTTTTGGTAGAGACGGGTCTCACTCTTGCTCAGGCTGGTCTCGAACTCCTTATCTTGAGTGATCCTCCCGCCTCAGCCTCCCAGAGTGCTAGGATTACAGGCGTGAGCTACCACACCCGGCCACATTCCTTCTTATATATGGCAAATACTTGAATACTCTGAGCCTGGTACAATGCTTGGCACAAGCAGTCTGGTAATGCTGAACAGGACAGATAATGTTCCTGTAATGATGGAGATTAGAGTCTATAGAGAAAGATATAAAGTACATGTGAAAACAAATAGATAAATAATATCAGGCAATGAAATATACTATGAAGGACAGTGAACAAGAACAGGGCACTTTTATATTATGTAAAGTGTTCACAAACCCTGTTCTGTGGCAATGACAGTTGTGCAGAGACATAAAGTATGGACTCAGTTTATTTCAATATGTGAGGAAGAGCATTTCGGGAAGAATGAACACCACATGCAAAAACCCTAAAGGGGGGATAAGGTTTGTATGTCTTAGGAGCAACTGGTAGATGAGAGCATACTTAGTTAGGGGGGACTAACAGGATATGAAATCAGTATGTTAGGAAGGATCAGGTCCTGTAAGATTTGGTATTTTAATATGAAGAATTAGGATTGTTTCCAAAATGTAATTAGTAGCATTATCTATGATGTAGAATAACTTATCATTAATTTGTTTCAAAAGATAAACCCTTTAATTAATGTTGAGATATAAGCAGAAATCCAGATTAAACAAATAGAAATTAATGAGTTATCCTTTTGATATAGTTCTTTCCTTTTGTTTTCAATATCTTCTTGACTTAATTGAAATGAGTTGGGTTTATTCTCTTCCTTTCTAGTTTATTATTCTGAAATTATTTCTTTTATTTCTATTTTAGTCTTGAAGGCTAAAACTTCATTTTTGAGTTTTTCTAATTCTAATTTATACTTTATCATATCTCAAAGTATTATACTGTAGCATATTTTTTAATAGTATGTTATAGATTTTCTCTGGTTTAAGGTGTGTATTTAAATTTTGTTATTCATTTTTGGCTATTGTCTAATTTATACAAGATTATACCTTCTTGTATAGGATTTGACCTTGAGTCTCTTTTTTTGTCATTAATCTCTGAAATTAGTTTTTTCAGGCATGGGCTCACTCTGTTACCTGGGCCAGAGGGCAGTAGCTTCACCATAGCTCACTGCAACCTCAAGCTTCTGGACTCAGGCAATTCTCCTGTCTCAGCCTCCTGAGTATCCTATAGGCATGCGCCACCGTGCCTCGCTACTTTTTCTTCTTCTTCTTCTTTTTTGTTTGAGTCAGTGTCTCCCTTGCCTGGGCTAGAGTGCAGTAGCTTCATCATAGCTCACTGCAGCCTCTAACTCCTGAGCTCGAGTGATCTTCCTGCCTCAGCCTCCCAAGTAGCTTAGACTATAGACATGCGCCACCATGCTCAGTTGTACTTTTTGTGGAGACGGTGTCTTGCTATTGCTCAGGCTAGTCTGGAACTCTTGGGATCAAGTAGTCCTGTCTCGGCTTCCCAAAGTACAGGGTTTATTGGCATGAGCCACTGTACCCATCCCTGAAATTAGTGTTGAGGAAGGACTCATGATTCTGGATACCATGTCTAAATTTGTGATTTTCGAGTGCCCTCTTCTGTTATTTTGTTAAATGTTCAAATTATCATGGTTCAGGGAAAAAAAATGGGAGTATATAGGAGCACAGTTTTGTATAGCTTTGTAATTAAATAGGTATTTATCTGATTTAAATTATTATAATTAAAGATGTTAATTATAATCCCTAGGGAAAACATTAGTTAAATACCTAAAACATGCATTGCATAAGAAACGGAAATTTTAAAAGTACCCTCGAAAATATCTATTTCATAGAAAAGAAAGTAAATAATAGAGGAATGGGGGAATAAAAATAACATAAGACATATAGAAAATAAAAAGCAATCTGGGCATGGTGGCTCACGTTTGTAATCCCAGCACTTTGGGAGGCTGAAGTGGGAGAATTGCTTGAGGCCACGAGTTTGAGACCAGCCTGGGACTGGTGAGACTCTGTCTGTACAAAAAAAAAAATAATAATAATTGGCCAGCATAGTGGCATATTCTTGTAGTCCCAGCTACTTGAGAGGCTGAAGCAGGATGATTGCTTGTGCTCAGGAGTTTGAGGCTGCAGTGAGCTGTGATCCCACCAGTGCATTCTTATCTGGGCAATAGAAAACCCTGTTTCTTAAAAAAAAAAAGTCAGACATACTATACTATAATATATGATTCCACTTATTTGAGGTAGCTAGAGCAGTCAAATTCACAGAGACAGAAAATAGCATAGTGATTCTAAGAGGCTGGGTAGAGTGGAAATGAGGACGTACTAATAAAGGGGCATAAAGTTTGTGTATGTCCGATGAATAAGTGCTACAGATCTACTGTATCATATTTTACCTAAAGTGAACAAGAACCTTTTATCTATTTAAAAATTTGTTAGGAGGGCTGGGCAGGGTGGCTTACGCCTGTAATCCTAGCACTCTGGGAGGCTGAGGCAGGTAGATCGTTTGAGCTCAGGAGCTCGAGACCAGCCTGAACAAGAGTGAGACCCCATCTCTACTAAAAATAGAAAGAAATTAATTGGCCAACTAAAAATATGTAGAAAAAATTAGCCGGGGATGATGGCGCATGCCTTTAGTCCCAACTACTCTCGAGGCTGAGGCAGGAGGATCGCTCGAGCCCAGGAATTTGAGGTTGCTGTGAGCTAGGCTGACTCCACAGCACTCTAGCCAGAGCAACAAGAGTGAGACTCTGTCTCCAAAAAAAAAAAAAAAAAAAATTTGTTAGGAGGTTAGATCTCACTTTTAGTGTTCCTACCACAAGAAAAAAAAAATTAACTCACTAGAAAAAATTTGAATAAGTACAAATGTTAAAAGGTGGTGTTCTCCCCTAAATACTATCATATGTCCCTCAATGTTCTTCTCAGGTCTTTGTTTTTTGTTATTTAGTATGTTGACCTCTGTAAATCACAGTCTGTCTGAACTTGAAAAACTGTTGTTGTAATGGGGACTTTTTTATCCTAAAAAAAAAAATTAATTGAAGGAAATTTGGGAAATTTAATAATATGTGGGAATTAACACAAGCCTAAATATTCAGAGGGTCAGAGAAGCAGTGAAGAGGGAAATTACAAAATACTTTGTGATGGATGAAAATGAGAGTCCAACATACCATAATAAATGGCCATATTGGAAAGAATAAAGATCCCAAATCAGTAATTTTGCTTTCTACCTTAAGAAACAAGGAAAGAAGAGCAAAAAACTGAAGACAAGAATAACAAAGGAAATAATAAAGATTAGAACAGAGGTAAATGAAATAGTGAATAAAAAGAGAATAGAGAAAATCAACAATCCAAAAGTTTGTCCTTTGCAAGATACAGAAAATTGATAAGCCTTTAGATAGACTGTCCAAAATAAAAAGAAGACTCAAATTATTAAAATTAGGAACAAAAGGTACCATGTCTGTTGACTTTAGAGAAATGAAGGATTGTAAGAGAAAATTAACAATAACTGAATGCCAACAAATTAAAAAACTTAGATGAATGTTCAACATCCAAAAAATACACAAACTACCAAATTTGACTCAAGAAGAACTGGAAAACATAAAAAAGAAAAAAAATCTCACTTCCTCTTCACTCTCCCCTTTCATTCTTATAAAGAGATTAAATCAATAAACCAAATACTTCCTACAACAAAAGGCCTGTGGTGCCATGTGTTTTTCTTATTGATTTTTGTCTTTGTTCTCACACTCAGATTGAAGCTGCTGGAGGCCAGGCTTTTTCTGCAATTTATTTTGTTCATGGCTAGGTATATATACTGAAGAGAATTGGAATCATTTATCTCACAAAAACTTAAGTAGGGAAAAAGCAAACACTACAAAAACAGGGCTATGTATGTGTATGTGTTTGCATGTGTGTTTAGTGCAGGTTGTTAAACCAAAACCTTACTGCATAACCTCTTAATTTTCTGAGCTCTCATTTTTTTTTTAATCATGTTTTATAACTATTTTAGAATTCTCCCAAGGTTTTCTAGTAGGTGAGAATTTCTTTTAATTCTACAATAGACCTTTACATTTTCTGGTCCAGAAAAAATTATTTTTCTTTTATGTCTTTTAGATTTGGATTCAAGGTGTGAAATAAATCGCGTTGGAAAAATGCACATTTATAGGAAACACTCATCTGTTACTCTGCAGCATAGAATTAATAAGGGAGAGAAATCATATGAATGTAAAGAATGTCCAAAGGTCTTTAGTCATCTTACAGAACTCACAGTACATCAAAATATTCATACTGGTGAGAAACCCAATCACCATGAAGAGTTCAAGAAGATGTTTAGCCATCTTAACGACCTTAGAAAACATGAGAAAATCCATACTGGTGAAAAACCTTATGAATGTGAAGAATGTGGGAAGGCCTTTAGTCATCCTGCAAACCTTGCTCAACATAGAAAAGTTCATGTTGAGAAACCCTATGAATGCAAAGAGTGTGGGCAAGCTTTTAGAAGTAGCCATCAACTAACTATACATCATAGATTTCATTATGGTGAGAAGCCATATGAATGTAAGGAATGTGGAAAGGCATTTAGTGTATATGGACGACTTAGTCGACATCAAACTATTCACACCGGTGAGAAACCCTTTGAATGTAATAAATGTGGGAAGTCTTTTAGGCTCAAATCAGGTCTTGAAGTACATCAGAGGATTCATACAGGTGAGAAGCCCTATATATGTAAGGAATGTGGGAAGGCCTTTCGTCAGTTTTCACATCTCATATGTCATAAAAGAATTCATACTGGAGAAAAACCCTACAAATGTAAGGAATGTGGGAAGACATTTAAGTGTAGGTATCAACTTACTATACATCAGAGAATTTACACTGGGGAGAAATCACAAGAATGTAAAGAGTATGGGGAGGCTATTAGTAGTAACCATCAACTTACCACACATCATACATTTGATAGTGTTGAAAAACCATATGAATGTAAGGAATGTGGGAAGGTCTTTAGTGCATATGGACGACTTACTCGACATCAGAATATTCATAATGATAAGAAACGATTTGAATGTAACAAATGTGGGAAATCCTTTACGCTCAATTCATCCCTTAAAATACATCAGTATATTCATACTGGTGAGAGACCCTACAAATGTAAGGAATGTGGGAAGGCATTTGGTCAGCGGGCACATCTTGCACGTCATAAAAGAATTCATGTTGGTTACAAATCCTTCCAATGCAAAGAATGTGGGAAGTCTTTTCCCTGTGCCTCATATCTTGTCAGACATGAGAAAATTCATACTGGAGAGAAACCCTATGTATGTCAGGAGTGTGGGAAAGCTTTTATTTATAGCCATAAACTTACTATACATCGTAGAGTTCACACTGGTGAGAGACCTTATGAATGTAAGGAATGTGGGAAGGCCTTTAGTGTGTCTGGACAACTTACTCAGCATCAGAGTATTCATAGTGGTAAGAAGCCCTTTGAATGTAACAAATGTGGAAAGTCCTTTAGGCTCATTTCAATACTTAGAGTTCATCAAAATACTCACAGTGATGAGAAACCCTATGAATGTAAGGAATGTGGGAAGGCCTTTCGTCATGCCAGAAGCCTCATATATCATGACCAAATTCATACTGGTCAATAGTCCTGTGAATGTAACAAGTGTGGGGAGACCTTTAGTCATGCCTCACATCTTATTATTCATGAGAGGATTCATAGCTGTGATAAACCCTAAGAATGTGACAGGGAATTTCTTTGTGTCTTGTTATTTTGTTGAACATGAGAAAATTCATGGTGGTAGAAATCCTTATGTGTGTCAAGAGTGTGGGAAAGCTTTCAATAGCCATGACTGTAGTATACATTATAGAGTTCATATTTGTGAGAAACCCTTTGAATGTAAGAAATGCACAAGGTCCCTTAGGCTAGTTCCATCCTTGAAATACATCAGAAAATTGATACTGGATGGAGACTTTGTGGCATATACTCATAATAAAGTACAGTGTGTCAATAGATTTATACCACTGAGAACGAATTTGAATGAAGACAATGTGGGAAGGATTTTAGTTCAGTTCTTATTAGGCATGAATTTATACTGATGTGAACTTCCAAAATGTAAATAAAGTGTCCAGGTTTTTAGGTATGATCCATTTTTCTCAGATTCATCGAATTTATAGTGTATTTTTATAATAACATAAGGAAACCTTTTTCTGGTATTCTATTTTTGGATTATCCATATATTCATAGTAGAGAAAAATTAAGAGAATGTAGGGAACTGTTGTTCTTTTTTGTAAACATCTGCCAGCAAAAGTCATTTATTGTTAAACTTAGGAAAAACCATCATGCAGAAGACTTCTAATGGATGTGGGAAAGGCTTTTGCCATTCTACGTATCTTAATCATGATCAGTGTTCCAGTCCTTACAGCTGGCATGACATTGGGGAAGGTATTTATCTCCTTGGGGCAACATGTGTAAATGGCAATAATACTTACAATATAGTACTGTTGGAATTACATGAGGAAAACATGGAAAACTATCTGAAATATGCTATTATGTTCAATAAACATTAATTTCTATTTTTAATAATATCATGACTTTTGTTATTTTTAGTGGATTTTGATGAGGTGAAGATTTGGGTTTCATGAATTCAAAAAAGTTTCATGTACCTACTTTTCTCATTTGAGGTTTGAATTCATCCTTGATAAACTCAATAATAAATAAAAACCGGCCGGGCGCGGTGGCTCACGCCTGTAATCCTAGCTCTCTGGGAGGCCGAGGCGGGTGGATTGCTCAAGGTCAGGAGTTCAAAACCAGCCTGAGCAAGAGCGAGACCCCGTCTCTACTATAAATAGAAAGAAACTAATTGGCCAACTGATATATATATAAAAAAAATTAGCCGGGCATGGTGGCGCATGCCTGTAGTCCCAGCTACTCGGGAGGCTGAGACAGAAGGATCGCTCGAGCCCAGGAGTTTGAGGTTGCTGTGAGCTAGGCTGACGCCACGGCACTCACACTAGCCTGGGCAACAAAGCGAGACTCTGTCTCAAAAAAAAAATAAAAATAAAAATAAAAAAAAAATAAAAACCATGAGATGGCCTTTAAGATCTGTTACAGTGAACCAAGCACTCCTAGAATGAAACTGAGATATATAAGTCTAGAAAATATCAAAATTGTGAAAACAATTTACATTCCTTTTATGCAGTTCAAAATTGGTTAGAAGTTAAATGTTTATCTGCTTTGTAATTTTTGCAATTTTTTATTTAAAAATTTTTAAATAAATTGAAAACTTACTAGGAACTGTGCAGCAAATATATGGTAATATTATATATTGTCACATTATATCTTATATACTTCGGTGTATAACTTGACAGGTTTATGAATATTATCATATTCTCACCCTACATATGCCAATGCATCCTTCTTCCCAAAAAGACAATTTCATATTTATTCATAGTATCTCATAATCACTTATCAGAAAATTAATAATTTATAATTATATCTAATCCATATTAAATTTTTGCAACTTCTCCAGTAATATAGTAATATAACTTCTTATTTTCAAAGTGATATGCAGTCTGTTTAATCATTGGGTTGGCAAACTCTGGCTCACAATCAAATAATCCAACTTATCACTTTAAAAGAATGTTTTATTATAACACTGCTGTATTCATTTGTCTACTTTTTGCGTATGGCTTCTTTCTTGCTATTATAACAGAGTTGAGTATTTAGTACAGAGTTTCTATGGTACACAAAAGTTGCAATATTGATTGCTTCAGAGTTTGACAACTTGTTTACAACAATATGTCTTTTAATCATGACTTGGGCTGTCTTTTTTCTCTTAATTAGTTATTTGAAGTACTAATAACATAAAATCTAGTATCTTAACCAGTTTAAAGTTCTGTTCAAGGATACTAAGTGCATTTGTATTGTGTAACCAGCACCACCATTCATTTCCAGAACTCTTCACATTGCAAATCTGAAACAATAGCTGTGTTCCCCCCGGCTCCTGACAACCACCATTGTACTGTCTCTATGATTTTAACTACTCTAAATGCTTCATATAAGTGGAATAATACAAAATTTCTGATTTTATAATTGGCTAATTAGCATAATATCCTCAATATCAATGATGTAGCATATGTTAGAATTTCCTTCCTTTTAAGGCTGAACTGTATTGCTTTGTATACCTCATTTTGCTTATGTATTCATCAAGCAATGGACACTTGGTATGCTTCCACTTTAGCTATTGTGAATATTGCTGCTATGAACACAGATGTACAAATATCTCTGAGACTGTGCTTTCTGTTCTTCAGAGTATTTTCCCTTAAGTAGAATTTCTGGATCAAATGGAATTCTATTTTTAATTTTATGGGAAATTACCATACTATTCTCCACAGTGGCTGTACCTTTTGCTGTTCCAACAGTGCGTCAGGGTTCCAGTTTCTCCACATTCTCAGCAAATCTATTTTTTTTCACTTTTTTTTTTTTTTTTTTTTGAGACAGAGTCTCGCTTTGTTGCCCAGGCTAGAGTGAGTGCCGTGGCGTCAGCCTGGCTCACAGCAACCTCAATCTCTGGGGCTCAGCGATCCTACTGCCTCAGCCTCCCGAGTAGCTGGGACTACAGGCATGCGCCACCATGCCCGGCTAATTTTTTGTATATATATTTTTAGTTGGTCAATTAATTTATTTCTATTTTTGGTAGAGACGAGGTCTTACTCAGGCTGGTTTCGAACTCCTGACCTTGAGCAATCCGCCCGCCTCAGCCTCCCAAAGTGCTAGGATTACAGGCGTGAGCCACCACGCCCGGCAGCAAATCTATTTTTGATAGTAGCCACTCTGATGGATGTAAGGTGGCATCTCATTGTGGATTTGATTTGCATTTCTCTAGTTATGTTAAATATCTTTTCATGTGCTTATTGGCCATTTGTATGTGTTTGGAGAAATGTCTATTGAAGTCCTTTGCACATTTTTAAATTATGTTTGTTTTTGTTTTTTAGTGAATTTTAGAGGTTATCTATTTATCCTGGTTCTTAATACCTTTTCAAATACATGATTACAAATATTGTCTCCCAATTTGTGGGTTGCCTTTTTAATCTACTGATAGCATCTTTTAATGCACACAATTTTTAAAAACTTCTCATGAATTCCAGTTTGTCCATGTTTTCTCATATTACCTGTGCCTTTGGTGTCAGATCCTGGAAATCATTGCCAAATCCAATGTTGTGAAGGTTTTGCTCTCACAATTTGTTCATAGATCCATTTTCTATATGATATCAGTTAAGGTTTTAACTTCACTCTTTTTCATGTAGTCAGTTTTCCTAGCACCATTTATTAAAAAGACTATCTTTTTGCCATTTAGTGGTTTTTGATTACTCTAATTTTCAAGTAAGTTGTGAAATTAGGAACTGTGAGTCCTCCAGCTTGTTTTAGTTTTTCAAGATTATTTTGGCTATTTGGAGTCTCATGACCTATTAGTATAGGTTTTTATATTTCTACAACAAATATCATTGGAATTTTGATAGGGATTGCATTAAGTCTATAGATTGTTTTAGGCTTTATTGACATGTTAACAATATTAAGTGCTCCCATCCATGAAGATGCTGTCTTATGTCTAATTTTCTTTCAGAAATGATTTGTAGTTTTACTGTATATGTCTGTGAACTGTTACATTAATTTTGAAGCATTTCATTAATTTTGAAACTATTTTAAATGGAATTATTTTCTCTATTATTCACTGTTAGTGTATAGAAATGCAACTGATTTTGTGTGTTGACAATGCTGCTACTTTTCTGAATTTGTTCATTAGTTGTACTAGTTTTGTTTTCTTTGTGGAAAAAAGCAGAAAATTTTACTTCATTTCCAATTTGCATGCTATTTTTTTTCTTATCAAATTTCTCTGCCTAGTATTTTCAGTACTATGTTGCATGGAAGTGGTAGAAGCAGGCATTTTTCCTTTTTTTCCTGATCTTAGAGGAAACCCTTACAGTCTTTCATCATTGAGTATGCTGTTCACTGTGGGTTTCTCATATAAAACTTTTAGTATGTTGAGTTAGTTTCCTTCTCTTCATAGTTTGTTGAGTGATTTTAAAATCATGAATGTCTTTTAAATTTTGTCAAATGGGGTTCTGCATCAGTTGAGATGATCATATTGTTTTCCCCCTTCATTCTGTTAATGTGGTATATTACACTGTCAGATTTCAAATGTTTAACCATTGTTTCATTGTAGGAATCAGTTCTACATGATTATGGTGTATAATTCTTATAATACGCTGCTGCATAGGGAAAAAAATAGTTTTTCCTTCTATACTGACACCATTCTCGGTACTTCACATCTGAGACCAATTGTGTGTAGATTGTTCCTACTGCAAGCAATCATCCAGTTCTCATTGGACAACAACAGAGTGTTTTATAATCCAGTTCAATTCTGACACTAATCATAGGCTAAGGGTTTAGTCCCACAGACTACCTCAGATACCATTCACAAGTACAGGTGTCAGGTGTGCTTTTTACTGACTGGTTATAAATCGGAGGTTTTTTGGACCCTCTCCTTTGGTTGCATCATTTGCTAGAATGGCTCACAGAAGTCAGGAAAACACTTATGTTTACTGCTTTATTATGTAATAAAGGATATGATAAAAGAAACAGATGGATGATGTTAGGTAGATGGTTAAAAGAATAATATTCACAACCAAGAATACTATACCCTGAAATACTGTCCTTCAGAAATGAAGGAAAAATGAAAACATTCTAAGAAAAACAAAAGTGGAAGGAGTTCATTATCATGGGTCTGGCCTTATAAGAAAAGCTCAATGTATTTAGAACAACTGTAGTTATAAATACATTGTTAACAGATACATAATTTAAATAGATGTAAAATATGCCATCAATAACATAACATGGAGAGGAATAGGTATAACTGCAATATGCATATGTGATTAAAGTTAAGGTACTAGCCGCTTAATTTGAAATAGTATAATTATTAGATGTTTTATGTAAGCCTCATTGTAGCCACAAAGAAAAAAAAAACCCTCTAGTAGATATACAAAAGATAAAGAGAATGGAATCCTAGCATACCACTACAAAAATACAACAAATCACAAAGAAAGAGAGCCAACTTGAAAGAAAGGAACAAAAGAAGTACAAAACAGTAAAAAATTAAGAAAATGCTAATAATAAGTTCCTATCAATAATTACTTTAAATGGATTATATTCTCCAAAAGACCCACAGTAACTGGATTGGGTTTAAAAAAATTTAATAATATGCTTCTTACGAGAGACTCACATTAGTCTTAAGGACACACATAGACTGAGATTGAAGAGATGGAAAAAGATTTTACAGGAAAATTGTAACCAAAAGAGAGCCAGTGTGGCTATATATCTGACAAAATAAGTCAAAATAAGTCAAAAATTGTAAAAAGAGAC